TTGTGACTGATGGTCATCGTCGGATTTGGAACACGCAGTATGGCAGCCCGCGGGCCTATAACAATCACTAGTATATACAGTTCATTCTTAATGAGGAAAAAACATTAAAATATTAACAAGAGTTCTAAGAAAAGCGACTAAGGTTAATTATGTGATTAAGCGAAACAAAGACAAGAATCTTGTACTGGCTCCAAGGTTTAAAAAATAAATAAATCATTTGGAGGTCAAGGTATGTCATTAAGTTTAAGAAAGATATTATGAATAAAATTGGTAAGTTAGTTGGTAATTAGTAAGTTTAGTCACAAAACAAGAATTATTGTGCCCACAAACACTGCTTCGAACAAAATTTGAATATGTTAACACCTTTTTATTTACCTACCTACTAGCTACCTATGATATCGTACTTAACCTATATCAATATATCCTCGACTAAAACATTTCAAGAGATTATTCTAAGCCAATTTTTTAATACAATCTAGAATTTTCAAAAATCTGATCTTAAAACCTAAAACTCAATTCAACTCAACCAAACTTTGGGTAGGTATTTCGTCGCGGTCGCTTATCATATTATTAACGCATTATACTAAGGTCTTCTGTGACCAATATGCCAAAATATTGGCGCTGGACGTCTGTAAACTTTTAGTCATCTAATACTTTTTAAAATTCGAAAGAGACCAATAAAAACAAAATAATATACCAACAGTTTAGCTCTCATACTTTTTATTACCGTTAACGATAATTTTATTTTGTCATTCTACTCGTAAAGGCACGTCGTTTCTTTTTTCGATTTTATATTCAATGTTGATACATATAGCAACCTACTTTGATATTCACAACAGCATGAACAGATAAATAATAATAAAAACGGTGTGAGGGGTCTATGGACCCCCGGTCGAAACGAAGTTTACCAAGAAATATCAGAAAAAAGTCTTGTTACACATTTTTCAGTCTCGCTCCCATCTGTTTAGAGCGTGTAACGCGCGATAAGGAACTTCATTCCAATATATAAATATATAATCTATCGATATATAAAAGTATACTATCACCTACTCGCTAACAGTAAATTGGTTTTTGCAAGATCGAGTTTCGCGGACAAGGTCTCATGCAAGGTCTTTGACCTCACTGGATGCAATAAGACGACGCGCCGTTATTTTATATACGAATGGTTAAAAAAGGCCACTATTATCGCAATTATCATTTTTTAAGATACAGCCAAATGAACTTCGATTATATAAAACAGTATAGAACAACGTATATAACAATGTAGAACAGTATAGAACAGAACAGAACAGTATAGAACGTATATAACAGTATAGAACAATGATCATTTATCAAAACGGTTTGTTGTACTTTTATGTCATGACCTAGGTATAGTAACTTTATACAACTATTATCTTCGAAACCATAATTTTTTTCAGTGGAGTTTATTTCAACTAGCTAAAAATACAAAAAATATTTAGTGTTGTGAGTTCTCGCTGTTGTTTTCAAGAGTGACAAATGTACGGCTACACCGATGTTATATTATTACAATTTACTATGATATCTTAATCATCATCATCATCATCAACAGCCTTTAACAGTCCACTGCTGGACATAGGCCTCTCCTTAGAAAGGAGGTTTAATACGAGTAGAGGACAATATAGAGGCTCATTCTCACATTGAACTGGGGAAATGTGCGAGAGCCATGCTTCGGCTCATGCTCGACCGGAGTGATACCACGGTTTCACAAAAAACGGGTGTTATGCAACTCTTTCCTTGCTCAAAAGTGGTAGTACTTGCTCATAACTAGTAGTCTATCTTTTGAAGAAAATAAGGAAGTATTTAAATGTATCCTGCGGTCGATGTTTTGATAGCAATACAGCTGCTATGTGCAAAGTGAAAGGAATATCAATATTAAACTTTCATTTGTTGGTATGAGAGTCATCGGTAATGACTCATTACCACACATGGTCAACAACAACGCTTGCTATGGTATGCTATATAAAAATCTATTTACATATAGAATCTTATAAATAAAAATATTAAGTTGGTTGGTGTACGCTTTAAAATCTCTAAAAGTACTGCACCAATTAAACTCAACTTTGCACAAGATATACAACACGTTTTAAAGATGGTTTAAATTTACCACAATGTGCCACATCGAAGCGAAGTACGGGGTACGGCTAGTCTTTATATAAACCTTTATGTTGCTCAGTGGATATTTGACAAATGCGTAGAAAATAAATCGATTCCCGAATCGATTTATTAATAATATCGATATAAATTAACGTGTCAAGATACGTTAATCAAGTTAATAGCCTCAAATTACATAATACTGATGGCATATTTTAAGCGCCACTACGCTATTTATTGAAGATCTTCAGTTTTACAGTAAAAGTTTTGTTCGGGTTGATAAAATCTTCGTAATTAAAAAAAAAGTTCAGACCCAGAGCTTATCACTGTACAACTGCTTATCAGAATCCTAATGTTTAAAATTCGAAAGTGAATTTAGTTGTTTGTTTGAATATGATGAAAGCGTAGCTACGGGCATAGCTAAGATATCAGTCGAGATATGGGTATCTAATTAACAAAGTGTCGGTTTTTTTAAGGCTTGTGAATCTGTTTGTAGCAATAGACATAGGAATTCTTAGCTTTTGCTTCATGTCATTACTTTGAAGGGATATCTTCAATTGTCACAAAAAGGTTACGCGGTCACAACCTCTTTTTTTCAAATGAAACGAAGAAGAATTACAACTAAAAATAGAAATTTTAAGCGTATTCGTTATCGACAGGCTGAATCAAAAGCTTTTTAGTAAAAAAAATGGAACATCACTTTATCATTCAATAGCTATTTGTATGAGTGGCCTAGTTTCTTCTACGTTTAAAACTTTTACTGTTACAAGAAAAACGGAAAGTAACATTCTTATTGGGAATCCGACCTTGATTCAACGGACTCTTTTTTTAAGCTGTAAAGTATTTTGTATCGCCTAAATTTTTTTGGTTAAAAAATCTTGTACCGTGGTGAATTAGATTCCTGTGTTGATAGTCATCTAGAGCACGATCAATCACGAGGAATCTAATTTATTAACAAATCTAGGTAATAAAATAAAGTCCGTGTGTGATGCGCACCGTGGTGTAAACAGCCCGTGGTGTCAATCGAAGAAGTACCTGTGGCGGTGTGTGTTTCTGAAAGCGATAAATTACTAAACGAATTTTTATTATTAACAATAGATGGTCTGATTCATGAGGGAGATTTAAGTGTATAATTCATCAACGCTTCGAATTAATTGCCTGAAATAAGACGACGATTCTTGAAGATTATTATTTATTATTTATATGGAAACAATGTATTACGGATTTAATCTTCTCAAAATTTTCTATATATGTATGTACGTGTAAATCTTTTAAGCAAAATAATGAAAAAAAATTTGACACATGCTCAACTGCCATGTAAAACTTTTTCTCAAAGACAAAAACCTCATCTAAGAAGACAATGATGGCACTATCACACGATCGATCCTAAGGCTTATGTAAGGTTCCTATTGTATATATCTATTGGCACCTATCGTTTTCACAACGCAAGCTGGCCTACCGTTATGAGCATGCAAGAAGCATACTAATAACTTCACCAGCCGATGACCGACGGAAGCCTACATTAGCATATCTCTTCATAACAGCTGTCTAATAAATATTTTAGAAATGTTATTAGAGATTACAACTCTATTTAAAAAAAATGCTGTATTGGTTATAGTGCAATTCTTGCAAATATTTGTTTGGTATTTTTTAAATTGTGTTTAGCGTTTAAAACTTAACGGGACAGCAGGCCTCCTAGTCTAATAATGTTCAGTAATCCTCAGGTATCGACACCGACAGCCTTTAATAGTCCACTGCTGGACATAGGCCTCTCCTCAGAAAGGAGGTTTTGGCCTACTATACCACGCTGGCCAGACGGGTTGGTATAGGGTTTGTATCAAGATTTCCTTCTCTTTGTAGTGCTATTGTCCCGCGTTGTTTGCTCCCTTAGTCGGCTCTTGCGACACCCACAGAATAAATAGGGGTGGTGACACTCCGTATTCTCAATCTGTCACCACACGAAACTTAACACTCGTATTTATTATTATGTTTCTTTATTATTATTTTTAAGTCATTTTGAGAAATTACGATGCAAGACAGCGTGTGCCAATAGGCTAATTGAGTTTTCGAAAACTAATATAATGGACTTTGTGACCGCTGACAGGTTCAGCGGTTACAAAGTCCATCAGGCGGTCTACTCACCGGCTTACCCAGCGGAGATATTCACGAGATTTGGGATTACCTAAGGGCGCCTTGTCTACAACAGAGGGGTAGGGATATGTGTGCGTGTGGGCAACCTAAGGGACTCTTCAGAGAAACACAACTTACACCTCAGTCATAAATACATGTATATTTTATTCAAAATACAGAGTTATAAACTTAAAATTGAATATATATACTCGTAAATAGTAGGTATTTCAAAAAAAAGATACCCCAGCGGCGCGCGTCAAGGTCGAGCAGATGTTGCTAGGAGCCTCTTCGTCAGCAACCCTGCAGGTTATTTCCACACCAGCCCGAGTCGGCTATTTTTATTAGGTAGGTAGGTAGGTTAGGCATCCTTATAAGCAATATCCGTCCTAGCATTGCCTTCCCTTCTTATCTAGGCACCGAAACCATAATGAACATTAAGTACGAGTATAATATATATCTTGCGATTTTAGAAAACGTTTTAAAATTACTACAAAAACTTTTAAATAGATGGCAAATAAACAGAAAACCACACATGTTTTGTTTTATTTTTTTGCTAAGAATGTAAACATTTGCTTATCTCCATGGCATAATTTATCATTAGAAAATACACTCCATTAGCACTCCATTAGCGCTCCATTAGTGCTCCATCCGATTTAATTGTGGTAAAGCGTTTAAAATACTCTTATTTTATTATTAATAAAAAAATGCATGTATTATAATTATCATTCTTCTTTAACTGTCATTTTGTTGTTCAACAGGTATGTTCGGAGGACGATGTTCCAAGCGGGACCCCAACGTGGACGCGTGTCTTCTGCGAAACTTTAACTCACTCATCGAGTACATGAAAGGCGGGGCCCCCGAACTGGGCATTGAAGAGGTATGTTCTCTTTAAAAATAGTCGAGCTTTAATTTAAGTATTTTATTTTATCTTCATTAACGAAAATAATAAGCGCTATGGTCATCAGACTCATCATCATCATCAACAGCCTTCAATAGTCTACCTACTATACCACGCTGGCCAGACGGGTTGGTATACCATGGCCAGCGATCAGACCCATATTGAGACAACCACACATTACTACAGTTGTGTTATTAAGCACAATTAATAATTTAAAACAGTTAATATACTCTCTTAGCTCTCAGTCCTAATTTGTCAACTGCGTTTAGCTATAAAATCTCTCGCTAAAACGATATTTAAGAAATCATAAGTACACATACGATCGTCCAATTCCAAATAGGCAGAACCTGTACCACGGTACAATTATAATACAGTAGTGTAACTCGGCCGCATGATAGAAATAAATGCCTACAGCCGCGCGGTACGTAAACATGCGTTAGGGCTGCCCGTCTCCAGCATTTTAATTATATTTGCCTACTTTCTGTTTCTATTTAGATTTGTGATTGTAAATATCCTTTTAATATAAATATATGAAATACTTTGTATATTGAATAGGAAGTGTTCAATAAAAATGCGTGTTGTTTTTTGATTGGTAGATTTAATTATTTTATTTTCCCGAGATCGGGGCGCGTAGGTATAGCTCGCGATGGGCACGCCGTCATTGCGGCGGTAAGACCCATTATGGAGGATTGGCTCGAGAGGCGTCACGGGACCCTCTCATACCGATTGACGCAGGTGATCACTGGGAAGGGATGTTTCGGAGATCACCTGTGTCTGATCCGCAAGGAGCCAACGCCTGAGTGCCACCACTGCGATGGCCAGACCGTGGACACGGCTCTCCACACGCTGGCAGAGTGCCCGGCGTGGGTTGAGCAGAGGCGAGACCTCGTGGCGGCCATCGGAGTGGGAGTTCTCTCGCTCGATAGCCTGATTGCAGCTATCGTGCGGAGCGAGAGTGCGTGGAACTCTGCCGTCTCCTTCTGCGAGCAAGTTATGCTCGCGAAGGAGACGGCGGAGCGGGACCGGGAGAGGTTTAGAACTCTCCCGGCCCGCCAGGCCCGGGCACGGGCCAGGCAGCGCAGGTCACTCAGGCGCCGGAGGTCGCAGAACGACCTCCGTCCTCCATAAGCGCAGGCCTGGGGGTGACAGGTGAGGCCATCTGTCACCCTAGCAGAAGCAGGCCGGGGTGGCGGCGAGCGCGTTGCGAAGCGCGCTCGCTTCTAGGGAGCACAGGGAACATGGGGTTCCCACACGGGGCGGGGGTCGTCTACTCGGGTCATCTACAGACGAGTAGACGACCCCTGGTGCCCCGACATACCTCGGTATGTCGGGGCACCAGGGCCTTCCTTTCTAGGGTATACCTGGTTCCCCGGCTATTAGTACCCGGCGAAGGCGTGCGGTTTTAGTCGGTTCGAGTCCGACATGCCACCGACAGGTGGTATCCGAGGGGATTTCCGCACGGAAAAAAAAAAAAAAAAAAAAAAAAAAAAAAAAGGTATAGCTCGCGTTTCGTCCGTTTGTATGAAGTTGGAGTACTATATTATAATTGTACCGTGCCTGTACTATGGTAACCAGACTGATGATAAACATGCTTGAGTATTACTAAATACATTCAAATTATAGACTAGACACTCAGAGACAGAACAAATGAGCGTGGTCATCACGCAATTGTTTGTCCTTGGTGGGAGTGGAACGCACGACTTCTGTCTAAGCAGACGGTATAACCCTAGACCTAACAGGCCAGTCAAGTTTATACAAAGTGTAAGAGATAATACTAGGGGTACTGGGTAAACTAATCGACGGGATTGTCTAGCTTCCATTATTTATTGCTGGACGGTATTGAAAATGCTTTCCTCTTCGACAGATGGCATCCATCCGAATACATCTACCGTATTATAACAGACGACGATATGATAAAAACAAACTCCTTCATATAGTATGTTTCTTATATTCCTATTCCTACCACACGTGTAATTATAACATAGTTGAACCACATTGATTTATTGTAGCTATTTATGTTTAACTGTGACCGCATTATAAATCAATAATTGACTTTAAAACATCATGAAGAATCGTATTAAACTGTATTTTTCATTCCTTAACATTCCACTCTTAAGGGGTTTTATTCTTTTTTTAATTAAAATGGAACGAAACCGACAGCACACTCTTTCACATGAAAAAAGAGTTTTCCAGCTCCCTTCATAAATAACAGAGTTAACAAACATAAAATTGAAAATCTCCACCTTTTTTTGAAGTCGATTAAAATTTATTAAATAACGTACCGATGTCTTACAACCTGTTGTCTTTTAAAATGACATTTAACCTGGTATAGGTAATGTGCTTGAAGAACGCAAATTTTTATCACAAAATATTTAATGATTGAACTTTAGATCCAATTAGTAATTTTTATATTTGATTTAGCAAACAAAGAACAATATAATAAACTTGAAAATAGTAACTAATATAGTTCCTCACAGTTTTATGTCATAATTAATTTCATGAATTCAGTTAAAAAACAATGCTGTAGTCGAAAGCCTATTCACCTGGCACCATTAAATGACAATGAGCTATAGACACACTCACTTCTAACCATCACCATGTAATGTAACATGGCATGTCTGACAACAATTTTAAACCTATGTCCAACCCTGTCAAAGACACTCAGGGCCTCGTTAATACATATTTTCAGCCGGACCGTACTTACACCTTAATTTGCATTAAGGATTGTTTTAATTATAAATAATGTTCTTGCAGGCTGAGCCTATTCAAATAGATGAGTTAACCATCGCTTTGGGCGGTGGCCCAGATGGATATCGCGCGAGCTTCAACGACATTCGTGCAACTGGAGCATCTAATATGACTATTACTAATGTCAGGTAAGACTATTACTTTCTCAACGCCTCATTGATCAAAATATTTAATTGTGTATAGAGTCGTCGAAGTGTAATTTTAATAATTTAATTGTTCGTAAATTAAGGGCAACCGATCCTTAAATATTGAAGAGGAAAGTCACCTCTTTCACACTTGGTTTGTCAACGACTCGTCAATTATGTTCATAGAGCAACACAGGCCACCGGCGGCGTACCGTGTTGCTCTATGATTATGCTAGACATAGAAAGCAAATGAAATTTTCTCAACAGTGAGATATGCTTACCAATTCTTGCATTAAAATTAATGGAGCTTTCAAAAGAATTCACTTTCTCAAGACTACCGTGTGTAGTTAATATACAAGGCATGCACAAAACAATTATAAAGGAGAGATGGCTGATCATTACTCACACTATAACAATGGAATTGCAAAAATAATCAAAAAGGTACTGTAATTTGACATACTATTATATATTAATGTGGGAACTGTGCTCTTACGAAATAATGACATGACAATAGCGAGTTCCACTTGCAATTTCAATATTGCATACTTTCTTAAGAAAAAAATGTATTTATTTCATTATTTCGAGATTCATGTTATTTTAAAGTCTTTGCCAGATACTGCGTGCACTGTAACATATCAAATTATTATTTACCATTATTTACTTCTTAACACTATTTTGGAGGATAAAACAAGGATCTACAATTTAAAAATAAACCCTACCCCTACCCTGATAAATCTGATAACTTAATTTGATGATGATTTTTAGATTGTTAAAATTTATAGTTACTTAAATGTTGCAGTAGTAATATTAAAAGCTGGATTATCGTGGTATGGAGGTATTTAACAATTAAGTAGTGATCTGAAGTCATCTGCCTCTTAAGACTTTGAGGTTTTCATGTGCTACGTAATGTATGTTAGTATTGTGATGTGAACTAGGGTGATCTAGTTATATTAATTGAAGTTATAATATCAGTCTGATTATTATATTTTATAATTGATTAAAATCGGTGCCGCAGGAAATTTAAACAATAGGTTTCTTACATAAAGTTATGACAAAAATAAATAGACGTCATTACTTCTTGAGACATGGAATGGACATAAGGATTTAAAAAAATATGTTTTTTTTATATCTAGGTGTAATAGTACAAACGTTTTTATATAGGGTAAATCTTGGGCTAGCGGGCGAACTCACACTATATAGAATTTCTAGAAACCGCTCGTAATATTTTATAATTGTTAACTAAAGGTATTTAAATAATAACTACTTAACGATTTAAATTTATAAATAATAGTAATAAATCTGCTCTTCCAACACATAAATCCACAACAGTTGTATGAAAAAAGTCGTTGAAGTGCGACATTTTTAAATTTACATGTTGACCACGTACGCAAGTGATTTAACACACAGTAAAGTGATATGATATACATATAGGTAATAGCAAATAGGAACTAGAACATAAATATCTTAAATCTAAAGAACATAGATAGTTATTGAAATAGTTTCATAATGAACGAAGATATCTATACAATATTTACAAACAAAAAACAATCGAAATGAAAACCTTTTTGAGATTTTACAAATACTTTTTAACCGACCTCAAAAATGTAGTAACAGATTATCACATTAGTATAGTAGTACTGTAAACACTTTTGCTGTCGGCACTTGTAGGTGTCATTCTCATGGGGACCATAGGTAAATAGTAAGATTAAAAACTAAATTCAACAAATACACTTGTGCTTTATGAAACACTCAGTTTCTTTGAATTTATTTTAACCAATACCAAAATACAGATAAACATTGACAGACACATATACTCGTAAATGCCAAATAAATACGACTGTCAATATTGGAAATGAAAATATTAATCAGTAAATAATATATTCTGTACACGTTCACCGTTCGGTGACATCGCCACAAGTTTTACGAGGGTCAGAAAGACAAAGAGTTCTCACATTGCACACTGACTGTACGAGGACTTACTTACTTACTTAATAAACAGCAAAAGTGTGTTCAAAAGAATCTTTCTAAGTAGCTAAAATGACAATGAATATTTGCATAAATTGACTACAGTGTAATAAAACGTAACCAATAAGATAATTACAAATCAGTATGAAGGACGGCTCTGTACACTTTAATGCAAAATCACATTTCTTTTGAAAGTTTAAACCTTTTTTAATTATAAGTCTAATTGAAGTACACATATATATTTCGGAAATATATTATTACTATATATCCTTTGTGTGTATCTTTTAACTGTTGTAACGATTCGCTACAAAAGCAGCAAAGTAAGATAGTGATGGTTTGTAAATTATGGCAAATAAATAGATGCTGTTAATGGCGTATGTCTATATCAACGTGGTATCAACGCCGTACTTGTGTAGGTTCAAATTGATGTGATTCGATTACAATATCATAACATGTATAGTACAATCGAGTTACGATTTCTCGTCAAGTTACTCGATCTCTTTAAGTCATACATACAAAGAGGAAATGTCTTAAGAGATCGCTTTTATTGATATCGAATTTTTTTTTCTAGGTCAGACTTAGAGACGCACCAGTTCCAATTGACATTGTTCGGGCCCCACATTAGTGCTCGCGCCCGCTACCGTTCTTCAGGAGTGTTGTTGCTAGTTCGAGCAAGCGGAGGCGGTGATTACTGGGGTGAATACGGTATGTACTGTTGCATAAGTTGCTGGAGCTTGAAGTATTTAGCTTAAAGTTCTATATATACCTATTTTATTCAGATTACTCTAGAGATGATTTTTGAACATTTGCGCTCCATTTGTTGCATCATTTCGTTGTAACATTTTTAGACAGCAAAACTGACACAGGACATGTGTACAATTTCCATTGTGTACAATTTTTGTCAATAACTATCAGAAAAATATACTAATAACTTTCTTAAATATTATCTACTACCTACTATCGGTCAAGCATGACAAACGTGGATTATTTAGATTTTTTTCTTTGTTGATTAAGAAAGGATTGTCCTTTCTAGTCTTTCCAAATACTAAACAGAATTAAGCCTGTTATAACATATATGTGTGTTTGTTTTTGCAGATGGTGTTAAAGCCAAAGTATACTTCCGTGGAGAACCGTACACGCGCGACGGGCGCACTTACTTGAAACTTGTGCAACTGAAGCTCGACTTCACCGTCAAAGATATACAGATGGGAGTGGAAAACCTACACAATGCAAACTCAGTGCTACGTAAGTAAAAAATTATAATCTTTATTTTGCTGAAGAAAATATAGTGTTCTTATACTGTCCAATTTGAACGTTAATCAATAGACTATGGACTGAAATTGGAGAGCAAAGCGTCGATTGCTCTTCACGGAGTGAGTCCTAACCTTTCCCCCTCCCCAAAGCTCTAGGGCGAGAGGCACTCAAAAAGCGGCATTGCACTTGTGCTTCTTATTAAGTTGTAAGTGTCCATGGGTGGCGGTTATCGCTTACCACAAGGTGAACCGTTTCCTCGAGCGCCTCTAAAATAGGCTTATAACAACAAACAATTTCTGATATCCAAGTCTAATACATTTACTTGTCGTAAAATTCTTAGTAACAAATTATATCATTACTTAATTCTCCTAATATAAGCTTGTGATTATCCAACAGAAGCAGCACTTAACCTATTCATAAACACAAACGCCCAAGAACTACTCAAAGAGATGAAGCCGGAATTGAAGAGAGATTTAGCGGAGAAGATGGCTCGTTTCTTAGACCATATCCTGCAACAGATACCTTACGACGATTGGGTCGTAGACTAAATTAATAACATATACCTCTAAGACATCACATACATACAATAGAACAAGAACAATAGAACAAGCAGAATTATAACAACAATCGAGCAGAATTACAACCAATAAAAACACTACTGCCCGCGCCCGGCAGTTGCACGAATAGCATTTACAAGTTAGCTCCTTAGCTCTTCTATAATAGAATAAATAGCCCGAGTGTAAACTCTAATCTGTAATGTAAAAGATGTCTGGTAATCCAAAATTGACATAATTAATATAAAATTATGGAAGGAAAATGTATAAAAGTAACTTGTATTGGGGCAAACTAAAATGTTGCCAGCAGAAATATGTGACATAAGTCACATCGTATATTTGCCTAAACTCGCAAAGAGTATCTGTAGTTAGCCGTCGTAGCCATCGACAGTGTCATTTTTTTCGACTAGAGTACTTTTCTTAATAAAATACATAAAAGACGAAAAAAAACTAAACAAAAACTTATCAGATACTTTTTAATTACTTTATCGGTTTTTTTTCGAATTTAATATTCATTTGGAATATTGCCCCATTACAAAGTGAAAGTTTTTCGTTCTTTGTAAACAAGGACAAAGATAAACTCCTAACCTCTGACCTATATACTTTAAGCTTCACGCTCATCACCCATTGATCACCTATTGGTGTTAATTTTTAATTACCTTACCTACCTACATAATAGAAATAAATTAATGATACATATAGGACTAATAAATACAAATAGTTTTAGGTTCAAACAATTTTTAAGACAAAACAGAATTGTTTATTGTAGATATAAGGTATTTATTTGGAAAACTTTTAATGCTAAGATTTCTAAGGTAGATCGACCTTAAGTTTAAATCGTATTATTAATTGTAGAATTGTTTTGTAAAATTTTAATAAAATAATTAACTTTATTTGTGGTTCTTTCTTCTTTCACACCCTGAACAGTATTGATATTGTATACACTATAAAAACTGTAAATTTAACATAGAATAACATTCCTATGTGAATTATAAAATATTCCTCATCATCAACTAAAATAACAAAGTACCTAAAATTTAATTTAATCCCAAAAATATAGTACCATGTGACCCGCCTGATTAAAAGCATAACCGAATCCTACGGACAGCTTTTCTTGGTGTCAGGGTAGATAATCCCTTATGATCTTCGGCTCCTTTGGGATTCAGGAGTCAGGAGTATGTGGTGTATACACAAAAAACCACCCCGACGGCCGGCCTGACGCGCCCTACTCTGGGAAGGACCCGGGCCATGTGATTTCCGTCCGTCCGTCCGTCCGTCATCATTCAGAACCCTATGTTTTTAAACATTTCTTCAATAAAAGGTACCCTTTTTTAAATCCTCAAATTCATCAAAGTGCGCTGTGAAAAGTTTAATTAGTGAATATTATGAATGTTATTTATTTACAGGAACACTTCTAGACCAGACGAGTGAGACGAGTTTTATAAGTTTCTAGTATCCTCTATACTCTATAGCAATAAACTCTAATTTAGAAACGCGTAACAGTCATTTCCTTAACTACCAACAATACCGAAGTAAGATAATGTAAATTTAACTGCTTTATGTAATTAAATATATGTATTTAACCAACTAATGTGAGCTCAATTCTTGTAATGTAGTTAACATTTAAGTGCAATCCTCGTAACATTGTTTGCCTCTCGATTCATTGAAGTTACGTAAACTATGATTGCAATAAAGAAACCAGTGTAGGGTTCCGTAGACGATTGTTACAACATCATCATCAACAGCCTTTAAATGTCTACTGCTGGACATAAGCCTCTTCTTACAACATGCCAATGACGTTTTAAAACGGGCTCACGAGATGTAAAAAAGGGTTAACATACTATCAAGCAAATAAATTAGGAACGTTTCATTTTGGGCTACAAATACCCGTTATAGTTCCTAGTATCCTTCTACGTTCGTTAACATTTATAATGATAGTATATAACTCCCATCATCACAGATTTTTCACAATATAGTTTTAAGAAAGGAGCGCTCTACCCTAACAAATATAGCATTTTAAAGTTCAATGTTTCACAAACATATTACTGAATCGATGGGATAGCCAAGAAAAAAAAATCATTTCCTCTTTATGTGAAAAACATTCTTGGGGTAGGCCCAAGAATGTATTTCTTCAAATTTTTATTTTAAGATTTTGTTTACGTTATTAATATAAATGCCCATTCAAAATTACAGCTTTGCAGTACTAACTAAAAGTCACTAAGCTAATCCGCAGACGGACATCGTGAAACTATAAGGATTCTTAGTTCTACTACAGAACCCTATGAAGGCTTATACATAACTAAAAAAAATTGTTATGAAATAAAAAATATGTTCACGTTTATTTACAACAACTGATGTTACGAGAACAAAGTAATATTAGACACCTATCTGTTGAATATGACATTACATACAATTGTACGATTGTAAATTCCATTTAGTGAACACCCAACTTTTCTCAATCCTGTTATATTTAACCGACTTTAAAAATGAGGAGGATCTTTGTCCCATTGACACCAAATCGTCATCGATTATAGATGATCAGTATGGCATCACAAAGAAACCGAGAACCGAAAGAAACCGATACCCACAAATTTGCATTCTCTATCGTATATATCACAGAGAGTCCTCCGAGAAATTGTTCGGACTAGTACCGGCCGCAACATTCCGCCATCGTTCCACACGGCAAATTTTCCATCCCCATCACCTGGATTATTGGCGCTCCACTACTGTGCTCTTTTCGAGACACTTTTTGTGAAGTTATCCAAACCTTCAAGAAAGGTTTGAAGGTCGTATCGGTCGGCATATTCCTAAAAGTTACTCCGTAAGGTAGGTAGGTAAAGTCGTTCGCTCCCAATCAAATTTTGAAAAAGATATCACCTCTAATGGAGGAAAATTAAGCAATGTGCATGTGCAATACTGTTTATTATAATGCATTATGATGTAAGCGCATTAAAGTAAGTGTTTTTTTTTTTTTAATTAATGATTATTTTATATTTAAACCAAATTGTAAGTTATTGTGCGGGCAACAGGACAACGACCGGTTGTTGTGGCGAACCTTGGCGAAATTAAAGAATTAAATTTTCAGTGAAATATTTGCTACTTCACTAAGCTTTGATAGCAATTTAAATTAACTTGAAAAAGAAACAGAGATTTTTAATAGCAATTATTTCTAAATTAGGTTGGTACTCTGTGCAAATAACAGTTACATTGAAATGTTATTACCTACTCTTCTGGTATACGTAATATACGTATACCTTTGCATTTGCGATTAAATACCACCTCTAATAATTCAATCGTCCTTTTTCTTTATTTAATTTTAATAGGTAACTTGATAAAAACTAATTTTCATATCTAACTTTAAATTAATTGCTCGTGACCTCAGATGTCAGTTATAATAAAGTACTATACCGATGTTTACTATACCGAGATTCTAATACAAATAACGTATTAAATAAAGTAGCAGAATGCGACTTCTTCTCATAGCGTGTACAGCACATTACCGGTATATTTTTAACGTTTGTTTTAGATTTTTTTTAATTTTTACGTGTAATTCCAACAAACCTAAATATATACTTATGTAGGTACCGCGGGCATAAAAAAGTATTACCTTTTTATTAGACTCACAAATACGTATCTATACTTATATTGTAAATGTAAAAGTGAGTTTGTTTGTTACGCTTTCACGCCTGTACCACTACACCGATTTAAAAAATTCTTTCACCAATCTACTTCAGCTTTTACGCGATAACCGACGTAAACGCAGGTGGACTCGCGAGCGAAGCTAGTATAATATATTTTATTAAATAAAACAAGCTAATAGTTGAAAAATAAAATATTGTTTACAATGTAAGAAAAAATCTAAAAGTAAACCAGTAAAGCTCCCAGTCGGTATGACAAAGCACTTTAATCCCCAGGGACGCCTTACCCAATATGAACATAAAGCAATGTATTACGGAATAATACTTCCTAACAAAATCAATTAAAACATTTATTTATATTTATTTATTTATTTTAATATTAGTTACAAAATCGGTGCACAAGCTTTATTATACCACATAAACTCATTCGAGTTTTTCTAAGCATCGTTATCATTGACATTCAGTAAATAGTAAGTACACCTAATGCGACAAAAGTAGGTACATGATACAAAAATTAAATTCGAAGAGGGTAGGTGGAAAGAGAACGGCACCGCCTCGCAAGGCCACCGCCCGCCAGTCGGCAAACTTCTTTTATTATTGTATGCCGAGTAGATAACAGCACGTTAACTGCATCCACAGTATGATGTTTTGTTTGAAAGTGAGCTAGATATGTAGTACTGTTAGATGTTAAAATAGTATAAGTAGAATGAAGTGGAATAAGTAGAATGTCGTAAAGACCAACATACATGTATATAAAAATATACATATATCTATATTAGACTTGCAACGAATATTCGGTTACTATTCGGTATTCGGCCTATTCAGCTGCTTTTATTATATTCGGCCGAATACCGAATACTTAAATAATATATTTTGTCATTGAGAAATAATTGGTAAAATGAAAAATTAAAATCGATTGATTACGTATATATTCATATTTTCATTTCTGTGATAATCATTTAAGTAGTCATTGGTGCATAACACAGGTACATAATCATCTTCTGAATTGGAAAAATGGAGGATTTTATGTATTTGAATTATTGTGGTAATCAAAATTTAGAAGGGTAAGGTTCTTTTTTCTTTTATAATCATTTATTAATTAGTCATTGGTACATAAAACAGGTACATAATTTAATTCACGTCTGTACAAGTTTTTGGCGCTAAAATCCAGCCGAATACTTTTGCCTAATATTCGGCTATTCGGTCAGGGGCCTCGCCGAATATTCGGTATACTGCCGAATATACTAGTCGTTGCAAGTCTAATCTATATGCTAGCCTGCACGACATTTGAGTGTTTGTCAGAGAATAGCTATGCTAAAAGTTAATTTTTTTGTTGTTAGAGTAGACCGAAATAAT